GGCTCGCCATGCTTTTGCGCGAGTCTTCAGACCCAAATGTCACCACTGTCCAGTCCGCTCTAAAGACTGGTCAGAAGTGGAGGGTCCTCGATGCGATAGAATCTGCCCAGAATGCACTAAAATTGAGAGAGATAATGGGTTACACACAAACCGACCGTCGAGGCCTAGGGCACGGGAAAGTCAATTGGTGGTCAAAGGCCTCAGCCAAAGAACGCCGAGATATGGTGATAAAAACGGTGAGGGACAACGAGGAGGAGAATCATTTGTACAAGCTCGAGAAGTACAGTGATTTAGCAGCCGGTTTGAGGGGAAACGAGGCTTACACAGTACGGGTATTTGCCGTCGAAGTGGGAGCGAGAGGCCTCGTTTCCACTTCGCTCTACAATGTGGTGAAAGAACTAGGATTGCGCGGTAATGAACGGAAACGAGCACTCAAAAAACTGGGAGAGGCAGCCGAAAGGGCCTCTAGCTGGCTTTGGACGCAGCGCAACAACGTAGGGGACGGGCCTCGGTGAGCTGGTCCGGGTGTCTAGTAGAAAAGAGTTTCTCATCCCTTTGAAAGTCCATCGTGTCCGAATTGTCTGCCAGTGTCCCTCTGCCAACTGCTAATAAAAGTCCAACATGTGTCCGGTAAACCAAAGTAAGCTTGTCGCTCGGTCGTCCAGGCATGCTGACTGCTTTAATTAGGCTGCCGTGGCGGCTTCTTATCTCACAGTACCTCCTTCGAAACCACCAAGTCGTCTTGTCTCTGGCCGAAAGTAAAACACCATCCGGTAATTCCGTGCAGCGGGGAACCAGCCCTGAGCGTCATGAACTCAGGAGGGCCCACCTACGAATACGTCTAGGAATCGTGGGCCGAAACGTGTGTCGACGAGGATAATTTCTACTGATGACTGGTAGATCCCCGCTGTACTTGCTCCCTGTGAGTTTATTCCTATTGTCACTAACACGCGAAAACCCGTCGAATGAACAAGAAGATTTTTTTATCTTGACCCAGCTGTGCCGACACACACAACAAACAAGCAGGGTGCCCAACCCCTTACAGAAAAGCATTGGGGAGAGGGTGCTTGTCGCAATGGAATAGACATTATCATTATGCCTTCCCGTTTTCTTCAAAGACGGAGTGCATCTGATTCAGTGACAGGGAACAAACAACTGCAGATAAATAAGCCAGTAAAATAGATGCTCACGGATAACGATATGCCTGATGCAGGATGTAAAATCTGTCGGGCTAACGGCTCGTCAAAGAAATCTAACGTGCGAAGAAAAAAAGAATGTACCTATCTGTGTGGTTAGAAAAGTCCAAAACCCGCGGGCTGCTCCCCGCTGACCCCCAGAGGGCGCAGCCCCTGTCGAGCGGGAAGCCTGATACGGTTGTGAGGTTAAGCAGGCTAGTGCAGGACGTGACGATTCCTTGGGTGAGCCCAGAACCAGAGCGCCATGTGTCGTCTCTGCATACATGGATGCCTCCTTGGATGGCGGGGAATGCCCAAGATCTGCCCCTGCCTTCCCTTGAGGGCTAACTGTTCCACAGGGGGCCGACCCAAAGGGGTATTCCGGGGGCAATACCTGCGGCAAAGGAGACGAAGTGGACACCACACAAATCAGGCAACGTCTCGACCCACACAAAACAATGGCCACAGTCACCCTAGAAATAGGCCTGACGTCTTCCTTCGAAGTCGGCGTACAGCTGCCCATGAGGCAGGGAAATAAAAAACGGTTGTACACGCAAAAATCAGGCCCAGGTGAAAGCCAAAAGTCCAAGCGGACGATTACCTGACCTTCCACTGGAATTCACAGCCGGTGTTCGAAAAAAAAAAAAAAAAGATGCTCACGCAAAACTCAGCCCCAGGCACAAAGCCAACGTCTAAATAGACGAATAACTAGGACTTTCCACCCGAGCTTACAGCCGATGAAAAGTTAAGAAAAATGAGGATAATGATGATGATGATGATGTGCTGCCTAGTAAATATATATAATAATATTAAACTGTAAACAAATACTCTTAAAGATAATGTCTATACATGCCAAAGTGGCGAGAATATTTCGATCACAGGTATGAGGAAAAGCTAACGTTGTTGTGCTAAGTAAATACTCCGCACCTCTCTGTGCTGGTTTTACGGATACTCGTACAAGAATCCCGCCACGCGTACTCGTTGTGCGCTACGGATAATGGCCTACATCAACCTGGACCGACCTGGCAGAAGATTTCGCAATTAGTGAGCCCAGAGATGCTGTGCCTAGACGGGACCGTCGGTAGTAACTACCGACAGTCCCGGCCTAGAAGTCCTTTGTCTTTTATCAGCCCACCTCCAATGAATACTTGCGATGTAACGTCCATTGAGAAGTTATTTGGAACATTAGGAAAGTCTGCTGAACGAATATCATATGATATTACAAATTAGTTTAAACATCCATTCACCGAAAGTCCTGCTGATATACTGCTTAGACTCAAATGACCGACAGTCAAATCCCGTACATCATAATAGCACAGTTTCAAAAGTCCGACCATCGAATATCCTATTGTGTGGCACACAATTCAGAAGTCCGACAGTCAGTTGTCCCACTTTCTGACAGTAAGGTTCAAATGACCAATAATATTGGTCCCATTCTTCAAGTTGTCGAACCATAAAGAGAAGTTATGCCTGATGCATGCTTTTCCGATGATGACTTGCTAAGGGTCCGGATGAATCTACGTTTGTTTGTTTGTTTTAGTATCCAGAAGCCATGAGTTGTTAACCCTTAGGCTCGGTATTATGGATCGCAACCTTTCGGCCTTGATTCCATTTTAAATACCGTAAATCTGGGAGAAATGTGGCTTTTCTGCCCACCCCCGGGAGTGAACCCGGACCACAAGGAGTTCGTCACCCGCTCACCGCGCAATCCGGTTTATCCAACTACGCTAGAGAGACGGGCGAATCTACGTTAAAGGTGGCTTACGTGCTGATGGTTATTGCTAATTTTTTTTTTTGGTGGGGGGGGGGGTTTCGAAGTCTCTAATATTTTCTTGAAAAAAGGGAGGGGGGGGGGCGGTGACCCCAAACAATGTAGTCAAGTGGTCTTTTGGTGCACGTACTGGGTGGTGAGGGGGGTGGGGCGCCAGGGAGGAAATACGTGGTGCAACGCCATAGGTTTTACTTACGACATGCGCGAGGGCTTTCAGACAGGAATGGGAACTGCCGCAGCAGCCCCTAATTTAGAAGACGCGTATACAGCAGCATCCCATGCAACACGCTCATCAGATTATTGTTAGAAATGCACAAATTGACGAAATGGGCTTACTGGGTGGCAGCAGCACTGTTAGAAAGAAGTGGCGCTGCGAGGGTATCCATGCCTCAGCGTGTATTATGTACTTGCTCCAGAAATCACGAGTGTCTCCCGTATTCTTCAATATGTACACATCAATAGTCACCAGTGCAAAATTAGTAGGCCTAGACAAAACGGTATTGTTCGCAGAGGATATCCCTGTGCACCGATGCGGAGGAAAACAGGAATACATTTGCAGCAACGCTACAGCACAAAGGGTAGATCAAATAAAAGGCAACTACGTCAAGCATGACCACGGAGATAACCGTTTTGACCAGAACAGTCACATTGGTAGCAGAACAAGCGGCCACACATATGGGAATCGTTTCAGACTCCATGAACATGATTCAGAAAATCGCAACAGGTCATTTATGTTCTAAACTGTAAGAAAGATTTCGGAAGTCGGAGTTAACCCCCATCATCTGGATCTAAACACTTGGGCATGCAGTAGGAAGAGGTAATAAAAGATCATACAAGCTGGCAAGTAATGCACCAATGATAACGGAAAAAAATCATAGACAGAGCTGATATTTGTGAGAAATAAGCCGGGGAGGGGGGGGGCGGCGGGTAATATTGAATCGCTGACGCTAACATGATTGCATGACCTGAGAGTAAAGCTCGGTCTCGGTTATGTACGTTTATGCCCTCTTCATAGTCAAGACAGGTGACATTATAACCAGCTTCACATGGGAATTCTCTTATCAACAAAGTAATAGAATAATCGAATCAATCAGAAAGCCATCAAAACCGGCACAAGACGATTACCATTTTATGGACAGACCAGAGCAAGTTATTATTCTACGCCTTACAACAGGACACAATCTACATGTACACACAATTTGAAATCGGCGAATCAGACATGTGCACATGTGCATTGGCACCTCAGACAACAGATCATGTCCTCCAAGACTGTTCCAAATACAACATATTCAGGCAAAACTTTTTGCCAAGAGAAATATCGGTGCAAGTCAAACTTTACGGGTCGCTGAGTGAATTACAAAAGACAGGGAAGTTCATACTTGAGACAACTTTGCAGATATAGATAATCTATTTCAAGCGAACGCAAGAAGAAGCAGACATGGGAACAATAAGTAGAGGTACCTTGGAATGGCTGTGTAAACATGAGTGGGTTGAACCGATGTGATAGGATGTCGATACGAACAAGAAACAAGTAAAAAGTGCACTTGCCCTTTGTAGAATCGGCCACCAAGGCAAGCATTGGAGGCCAAGAACTAGACGACCCATGTTTCTCTGGAAAAACAAAAACCGACAATCTCTGTCAGCTGACTCAAATGAACGAAACCAAAAAGAAAACTGCTGATAAAGAAGTCTGGAGATTTCTATGACAAACCTCTATACTCCAAGGTAGAAGAGGAGCGACTAAGTAAAGTGAGCCCTTTGTCATCTTATTTTAGTTTTTCTGTCGGATCTGTCATCAAACATCCTAGGTTTTTAAAATCTTTTAATTTGCTTGAAACAATAAACAATTTGTCTTCAACCATTTATAGCAGTCTATGACAGTCGGTAAAACATTGAAAGATGTGGAGTTAGACGATAATCTTCTCCTGCAAGTATTTTCCTGCTTGGTGTCGCTACCAGTCACAGTTGCAGCCAATAGTCTGGCTAGGATCGGGCAAGATTCCCTCTCAGGGCTAACTTCCGGCTTCTTACAAACGCCATTTTCCCCTCTGAACATGGCTGATAATACAGGTTCTTCTCAATTTGACGGTACAAGTGCTTTTGCCTCGGCTGTCGCTCGCGCGAGACAGGTATGTTGTTAAACAGTTATTTTGCCATAATCTTTTTCATCAGTACAGGAGATATTTAATAGAAAATGGGAAAAATGACCGCCGAACAGGATCAAGTCGAAACACGTGGTAAAATTGTCTGGTGAGGCTTCAGAGATTTTGTGGTAATTACCGCACTCATTTTCTTTAACTCCATCCTCAAACGTATACAGATATCGTAAGTATAAATTTCTAACATACTTTCGGCATACATACATCTTGTTTGAAGGATTGAGTTTTGAATTGCTCATAGGTTCAAGGACAGCGGAACAATGAGAAAGCTGTGACACAAAATGGTTTCTTTATCTTTCTTACATTTACAGGACTGTTTTCTTTTTTTTTCTTATTTAAGAGAGGCGGACTAATGTTTTGTTAGTTGGAAAGTTTGTATTTGCTTATCCTGACATGTTTATCAACATAAAATATGTTCATTATGGTGTAGTCGTTGTGTATCCAGGTATAGATGCTGCTTGTTTGGCACTTACAGGACTCACACTAGAGGAAGCAAGACAAATATCATAAACGAAAGCAAGAGGCAAAATAATTTTTTTTTTAACCCAAAGTTACATTTACTGATATTTTAGTAAGATAAAATCTGGAATCCTATAAGGTTCCTCAACCATGACCTCACCATTATTGAAAAATGTATTTGATGATATAAAATGGAACTGCCACCTTATGAATTTCTGGGAAAGTATTTCAAATTGCGTTTTGTTATGCTACTAAAAGAAAGCAATAGTATGTTCTCGTTATTCTAGCCTATATGCTTGCGGTTCAACTTATTTATATTAAGTTCAGAATATTTTGTCTGGGTCTACTAGCCTCATGTGGACATGTCCATAGACCTTTTAATCTTCTTGTAGATACGAATATTGAAAGCTTTTTTTAACAGCTCGGCTCAAGCATTTTTAGCTAATTGTTCCTATGCCTGAGAGACAAATAACTTGCAGATTAATAAACCAGATCTGTTTAATGGATATGTACACAGCCGATGAATACTACGAAGAAGAACAACATACCCAGCAAAAGTTGTTTAGATATCGTCTTTCTTTGCCCTAACAACCAATCTCTGTTTGCTTCTTCTTCACTTCCTCTTTTACCGCTGTGGGTGTCGAGGGAGATATAAGGTTCTGTTTCTAGCTCTTCTGGCCGCCTCGACCATAGACACATCGTGCTGTTGTAGAGTTTCTCTGATGTTATCCTTCCATCTTGTTCTTGGTCTACCTCGTACTCTACGTCCTTCGCTTTCCATGTATGGTATGGTGTCACAAGGCATTCTCTCTGTTTGCTTGTCCTCATTTAATACCCATTTCTTAGACGGTTCACAGTCCCTTCCTTGTCTCAATGTCTGTGGAACAGTGCAGTCACTATGTCTGTCCTGACACTTATTATTCGCTAGTTGTTTCCATTTTCTAAAATGTTTTTGAGTTTATAAATTTGTTGGCTATCTTCCGAAAATTGGTCCCAAATTGTTGAGGCAGATAGCCAATTTGTTTTGCCATCATGGTTTTTCCCATCACTGCAGCTTCTTGTATAATCTTTACCTTTTTTTTTACTGCTTTCTCTTCTTTAGTTTTTGGTTATCAATTTCTTATGACTTGTTTCATTTCAATAGATGGAATTTTAGTAACCCCTAAGATCTGCATTAGTAATTGTATTTAACAAAAAAAATCTGCACAGGCACGTGTAATAAATTTTTATTCTCTATAGAAGCTCAGTACTGATGCTTATTTAATGTTTATTTGTTGATAAAATTTCTGGCTATCCTCCGAATAACGGTCCAAAATTATAGAGGCTGACAATATACCCTAACAGCACACAAGTCACATGTAAATTGCGGACTTCTGGAAACTACTGACACCGTCGAGAGTATTTCCTATGGAGTGCGGCTAAACTAGATGGCTGGGACTCATGAGCAGCAGCTACTGCATCTCCTGCAGCTTCCTGAATTTTATTTGTTCGTGAGTCCCAGCCATCTAGGTTAGCCCTGCTTCACGCCACGCATAGAGGTGTGGGAGATACTCTTGGCGGTGGCGGTAGTCCCGGAAGTCCGCAATTGACTGATGTCTGTTAGGGTATATTTTCGGCCGTTATAATTTAGGACCCTCTTTAGCCAAATTTCCTAATGACTATATGTAAATAGTAATTTTCTGGTGAAAAATGACATAATGGAAGGGGAGCTAATGTTTGCATACAAAAGCGATGAATAAATGGTATGTCACAGGCAAATACCCTGAAATAGCCTATTTCAAAACTAGAATGTATTGTATGGTCTAGAGATGTTAAACATGTCAGGAACGTGATATATGATAGGGGATATTTGTTTGGCCCCCCCCCCCCCCCCCCCTTCCCCCCCCCCCCCCTCTTTTTTTATAAACAATTTTGTATGTACAAATTGAACAAGACAGACGTGTCTTTCTTGTTGAGTATTGAAGTTTTGGAGTTATTGATTGGGAAAAGACATAACACTCTTTGACTTGAAATGAAATGTAAATTGTTTTGCCACTGAGTTTTTCCTAAATATATTTTGTATGTCCTAATGATCTGATTCAGCTAATTGTTGGTGAATATTAATAAACATTAATTTTTCAGATGCTGTGACCTGATGTCTTTAAATTTGCTTATTTCTGTTTCTATTTCTTACATGCATCTCTTCTCTCGTTTTATGTGTACATGAAATATTGCTATGTTTAGAATATTAGGTATATTTAACAAGTTTATGTAATTTATACTTTATTACTTTGTATTTTATGTAATGAATCACCACGTTCGCGGTTTTCATTTTCTAAATGGTCACATGATAAATGTTTATTTTTGTCCATGAAGATGTGGCAGTTTGTTTTATTCGTTTCATTAACTTGAAATGTTAAAATTGCTGCTATATGGATTTTTGTAATTGACATGCGTAATTTGATGCCGTACATTGATTATTGATGGATTGTCTCAAAGTATGCATATTTTTAATTGTTCAGAATATCATGACATGTTTTCAGAAAAAGGTTTAATTAAAAAAAAAATGAAACTGAAACTGGTGATTCAAAGGCAAGAACAGAGTGGTCTTCGCTGTGCTAACCATGTATTTATTTTTCTCTTTTCTCCCCATCCAAACCCCACCCCCAATTTTTCTCTATGTTTCGTGCATTTGCCTGTGTTCGCCGTGTGTAGATAGCAGCCAAGATCACACCAGGAGCGGGGGACGCTCAAGTGCAAGGTATCAAGAGACCTTTGGATGATGGCGCCTCCTTTGGTAAATGAGAATATTTTTCTCAAATTAAGACATTAGGGCCCCCGAGAGTTTTGAACTCAAAAAAATAGATTGATTGTAGCACTTAGCCAGGTAAGATTTGTGCTAAGCTGAACTTTCTCCTCCATGCTTTTACACCCTGCAGAAACTAGACTACGAGAACAACTATAGATAGATAACTTTTTCTTCTTCACTAAATTAGAGGTACCAGATAATTTTCAGGTGCCAGTTTGTCCTGGACATCCTGCTTGATAGAGGGTTTGAATACACTATATGGTTGATGAAACCAATTCCACAAATTAATTTACGATATTGACATGCAGTCTTTGATGGGCTGGATTCTCTGAAAGTCTTATCTCATGATAAAGTACCACCTTTACAGTCGCCTGTGTTTTGAGACTGCTGTTACCTCCCATCTAGTCAGTCACAAGAGGGTTTAACCTGTGTAGTTAAAATGGTGTTTGTCAGGTTACATCAGGTTAGCAGTAGTAGAAACCAGTCTCCCAACTTTCTTCCCACCTCGGCAGTGTCAGATTATGGAACCCTTTAATCACTGGTAGGCTAGTAGTGATCGACTTTCACCCCCTTACAGCCAGTTTGTAACCTGCATCCTTTTTTATTATTATCTAAAGCTGCACCATCTAACATTCTTTATCCTGAACTGTCGCAAAAATCATTTATAATTGTAGCTCATTTTAACCTTTGAAAAAAGTTTATTTTCGCTCAAAATTGTTTCATTGAAGGATGGGAATTAGTTCAGCAGTTCTTGGGTAGGAAAATTACCAGCTTTTTTGTGTGGCCAGTTTTATTGGCATGATAGAATAACATTCAAACAATTAAAGAATGGACTTGAGACAAATGTTTTCTAACCTTTAAAGGGGGCCTCATCGTTCTAGTTGGTCAGTTCATTTTTTTGTTTTGTTTTTGTATTTGTTATATAATTTTTTTTAATTTTTTTTTTAAACATTGAGGTTTTTTTAGTATTCAATCTTTTGAAGAAGTGATCTGTCTTGTAATTGGTTAAAAAATGCATGTTTATGTTAGGAGGACTTGCGGTTTGACATTTTCAGGCAGGTGTTGAGTCAATGTGGTGCTGATAGTCTGTATTGTTACATGTTGATTTGTAGGGAGGTGCTAAAGCTGATAAAAGTGCCACTCTGAAGTGTGGTACAACTAGTACTGTGATGTGGAAACCTAGTGACATGAAATGAAACCCATCTTATACATCTGTCTCAAAACAAATTTACTGAACACTGATGAGAAAGCTGGACGAGAGGAAAGAAAAAGACTCACGGGAGCAGGGAAACGATTGGAGCAAAGGTCTTTAACGAGTGGCATAAGATGAAAAAACCCAAATCCTAGACATGAGCCCCAGCTTAAGAGTTCCGAATGACTGAATGACTGCAGTGTCATTTCATTATGTCACCAAAGCTGTTTTTACACACTGCTGCGTTGACTAGGACAGCACCATACATTCATTACATTGTTTAAATATTAGCACATTCACGTTTACTGTCTCTTAATATGCAACAATAGGATTTCACTGTTGATGAAAGGCTATTCTTAACATTTTACTACACGTTCTTTTATGTTCTTGTGAAAGATTTTATACATTCAGTATAACTATTGTCATGTTCTTGTATTGTACCTGAAATATTGCATGTATTTGCGACAGTAGACATGGTTTAAGTTGCTCAATTGTTTTTATTTTCTGTTAACATTTAAAATTTTAAAATACTCTTGACAATACTTGTACTGTTAGATCTTTCTTGGTATGCCACAATTCATTGTTGGGTGTCTTTGTCTTATTGTGTGCAAATTTGATGTTAATGTTAATAATTTTATTGTCTTGTTTAGTCAGCAAATATACAAATTGTTTCCTTATTGCAGTCATTTGACATTAGTGTTTGTATTTGATTCCAAATGCATTTTCATTGATTCAGAATGCATCATTCAGTCTAAATATATTGTTATATGTTCCTTTGAATTTCCATAAATTTCAATGCATATTCTTAAATCTCATTTTCAATTGAATTGAAGATATATTTCTACTTGCAAATTGAGGTTATTGAATACTTTGGTGCTGTTTCTCAGTTTGTTTGTTGACGATAACAGTTAATGTCTTCATGCTTTCATGATATGCATTAATAATGCTATTATTTTAAGCACTGCATATGCCATGCATTACTCTTGCGATACTTTGATTCTGTCATTGATAACTTGATTAGCATTGTCTCATTTGTGTTTTGCCCATACTGACATCTTGTGTTGATACATACGTTTGCTTTCTTATGATTTGTTCACAACTGAAATGGAATTTAACCTGCTGTCTGTTTTATTTTGTTTACATATTCAAAATCTTATGCTAGGTGTTGCATAATTGATGGAAAGTTTTCTTCCTTATATCAATGATTTATAGTTGTTGATTTACGCTGAATGCTTAGGATGGTAATGGTAGATATATTATTAAATTTTATACAGGGTGTCTTGTTTAAATATTGTGTATGTAAATGTTACACACAACCTTAAACAGCTGGACTAATACTTATTTGAACCCTTTTCTCTATTACTGTGGCATACCCGCAGGGTCTTCCACAGCAGAGGGTTCAAAATGTAGACTGTTTCACGTTGATTGTACATGTCTCTGTCATACTATTTCTCTCAGGTGATTTTTTTTTGCCAGTTCTACATTTGAATCCAAGTTCACTGTCTTATGCAGGTTTCATGTAACATGTGTCTTCCATTAGCGTTCATTTACATATATCTTTCAGAATGCCTGTTTAAGTATTCCTGCTACTGTAAATACTGTAGCCTTCAAATTATTTTTCTGTGTTCAGGTGGAAGGTTCTGGTTGTCCACTTCTTGTTCAAGCAGTTTTGCACATCCATTTTACATATTAAGCTCATTTTTCTGCAGACTGTTAGCTCCTTGCCTCTCAGACAGGTGCACTTTCAAAAAAATCCTCCAATTGTCTAATTACCTGCTTGTTGGGGGGTAGCCGTATCCTGATAACATCTGTTGTGGGCTTAACAAAGACGGTTACAGATCAGTCAAATCTAGAGTGGTGTTTGGAAATGTGTGTCTTAATTTCAGTAGCATGACTTTCAAATTACATCTGTGTGTGTAACATTTACATGTTTTTTTTTTAAGACCAACACAATATTTTGCCCAGTATATACACAGCATAAGTTAGATTTGAAGCTATATTAAAAATTTTCTGTATGGTCATGTGCTGGTTCAGAGCGTTAGTAAAATACCTAGAAAACAGTGTCATGTCATTTTCCAAGCAGTTGAGGTGCAACAAGGAAGTGAATGGGGTGATAACGTATGTGTGTACGTAAGAAAACAATAATATATGGTGTTTAGGTAATGTAGTGCTTGGGCATAAGGAAGCAGGCACTAACAAACAAAAAAGGCAACTTAATTCCTGCTTGAACTATATCACTAGAACTGAAAGTGTGATATTTAGACAGGTTAAAAGTAATTTCACTGAAAATGTCAAATAACAAATTCATAAATGAACAGAGGGACCTACAAAAACTGTTCAAGTGCTGCAGAAGTGCTCACTGCATGCAGTAGAGAGGATCTCAGGCCAGACTAATAAGCATTCAGGGTAATCACTGGAGAGAAGGAAAGGACGACAGAGACTAGGAGGAAAATAGTTTACGGATAAATCATTAACATAATATTGTTTAAAAACATTAAACCGAAGAGGAAAGGACATTAACAGAAATATCGCTAGTGAGCCACAACTGAGATTTTAGATGAGGGTGTAAATGTTTATCTACAGCTCTCTATCAGCCATGACCCTTTATTTGTGTTACACTTGATATCGAAATGCCTGTTGTTGTAACCGTGGGCTCTATTTTTTTGTCTCTTTTCAGGTGAGCCCGATACAAAGAAGAAAAGTGGTGATTGTAAGTCAGACACTGGCTTTTTTGTGACATGATGTGTGCCACATTGTCATTTCCTACTGTCAGTCTTGTATTTCGGGGTTGAAGTACTAGTCCTGGCACTGTTGGCAGACTTGCTGACTGATAGATGCCTCAGTTGCTTTTATGTTTGTGCTTATTGAAACAATTGCACAAGAAAGGACAGTGTGGAATTGTTGACTGAGCCATATGTGATGTATAATGACAGAAAAGGATGATGTAACGGGAACTTGTGGAACTCACAAAGGTGAAATGTCTGATCTGAACAGAGTGGCATACAAATTCAAGGATGCAGCATCCTGGGTTTTGATTATGTGCTGAAATGAACCCAAACGTAGACTTGAAGTTACGCTTTCAACTATCTTGAAATGATTATAATTCAACTTGGAATGAGTCGATACTTCACTTGAAATGAACCTTGGTTTGGCTTGGAAAGAACCTTGGTTTACACCGACTTTAACGTCTAGGGTTGACAACACAAACGCCGCTCAGCTTCTTGATACATTCTGTCAGTTTATTCTCGTCCATTTATTTCACTCGCGACATTAGAACACTAACCATTCACAACATAAAAACTACATCTTCAATTACTACTTTTCACTGACTTCTCATGATCGACTGACCACGAGTCTAGCTCAGGCCTCCCCTCGCTTACTCCACCGGCTACAATTGTAGCACGGACTTCCTGCTTGCCACAATGTACTCGTGGAGACCATGCAAAGCAGGGTCATCACACGTGCTAAACTGCTTGAATAATTGACTGTTGAAATTGACCAGGATGACGTAACTTTTGGTCCCAAATTAAATAGTCCAATCCTGAAGTTAGTTGCCTGAGTTTGAAAGGATTTAATGAAAATTAGAAGTATAGACTGGAATAATGTAACGGCTAGGTGAAGTTTATTAAACTATATATATATATTTGAGTAATCACTGTCTGCATGTAATAAGTTAAAATCAGCCATTTTGCATTCACTAGATCATTTTGTTATACACATGTTTGAAATAAAGGCAAATATTAATACACTAGGGTGAAACAAAACAGAATCCCCCCATTTTACACACCAGTAAACACTAGCTCGCTTCTGATTGGTCGAAATTCGGCCCACCTCACACTTGATTAGTCGGCCTTGAGCCATCCAACTTACAAGGTGAGAGGGCTGTTTAACAATGCAGTAGATATGAAGTGTTTATTTCACGATGCCAAAACCATTCAGAAACTGGGTCTAACATATGTCACCGGCAGTCTCTTTCTTGGAATAATAAAAGGTAAATGCAACACAGCGTATCGCCATACCTCCACGGTGGACTAGCCGAGCAAGCTTATCAATGAAATTGGATTACTTTTTGTGGGGAGACTCATAGGGCATGTCTATTCAGCCTCAGGCCCTTGCATTGGAATATTATTAATTCAACTGGAAATGATTTGTGGGCCACTTGCTTAGTTGCCAGAATAGCTCTGTCTTAGGGTTTCCTAAACTCAGGACATCTACTATAGTAGTAGGTGCATGTTTAATCAGCTTAGTTTCACTTTATAAGTTGAGTTTAGATGCATTTTATATTGCATTTGTAGAATTGTTTTGTTGCAATGATTTTTTTATTTGCAGCCACAATAGGAGCACAGCTGCGTGCCATCGCTGACAATCAAGGGTAAGTCTTCTAAAATTGTCAGATGCACACATGTATACACAAAACGTTAACATACACTCTGCTGTTAGAAATATGTTCCTATTCTAAAACAGTATGTGACAGCACTATGTAAGACCTTTTTTTATATATATAATTCCGTGTGTATTTGACAAGGTAGATCGTAGGTTATCAAAAAAATATGTACCCTTCCTAACACTTAAACCAGATGATTTCCAACTATCACCCTCCCCCAAGCATGTGAGTGTCGACTAAGTATTGAAGTCCTAATATATAGTAGCTCCGTACATGTAGATCATATGGCAGTAGAAGTAGATATTTAAATTACATATTATGAGAAGATTATGTTTGGGTAATTGGACATCTTGGTGTGATATTAAATAAGGCTAAAGAACATTATTATATAAACAAGAGGCGTTAATTTGCATAATCCAGCATTTGAATTTGATTTCTAGATTCAGTCAGAATACGGAAGCAGCGAGAGCCGCTCAGGAAGCAGCGGCCAGAATCAACCGCCAGTTGGGCATTCAGCAGGATCCAAATATGCAGCCACAGAAACCTGGACCACCTTTTGGTGTTGGTGGAATGGTCACCACTGAGGAACATAGGGTCCCAGACAAACTGGTTGGGTTGAGTAAGTGCTCTTTTTCTCATCATTTATAGAAATTGTCTCATCAGTTTAATTAATGTGAGTAGATTACATATCTTACTCTGTCTGTTAAGTGGACTAGTTTATGGAATGTCTCATCTGTAGGTATTGTCAGAAAATATGTTGTAAATATATTTTTTTTGATCAGATGTTAGATGATACTTTTTAAGTGTGTCAGCGTCTGTTTCTTAGGCGTTGCGAACGGGATTCGTAATTGCTGGTTCGATCCCAGTTGCAAACCGTCTCTCTCGTGTTGGTCTTGTAGAGAGCTGACCAGTTAAAAATCATTGGCAAACTATATTAAAAGTAAAAGAAAAACAGCAGCCAAAGAACATTAGGGTTGGTTCTGCAACATGCTGTAATTTATACACAGCAAACTTATCCTACTAGGCTTATAAGATCCGATTTCCCCTAAACAGCTGAAAATATGTAGTGCATGGACAAATAGTGCATGGACAAATATTGCATTTTGACAATATAAATCTTGGTGTCCTGTATTCCTGCATAGTAAACAAGTCAGTAGACATGGAGAGCTTACACAGTAAACTAGTTAGTTATACTATCTTTGTTTAGTCTGTTTCTGTGTGTGGCTGTAACTATATAGTAAAAGGTTTCTTTACCTGTCAGTGGCGCATCAGGCATATGAGGCCAGACCATATTTTTATGGGTGATGTCGGCCGCCATTACCTCTCAGGACTTTTGGCTGGCACCCATTTAGGACTTGATCAACCTTGGAGCTAAGGCCATATAGGGGAACACCTCAATGGGCATTCAGACATACAATATGTCAGCTATCTGACAATAATTGTAGCCGGTAACTTGTGATGACACTAAGCCTACATTTAGCAGCCTCATCTGAAGCTTTGTGCTACGCTCTCTAATCACTTAATTGTAGAAAAGGTTTAAAAATATTACTTTGGTGGCTTTGATAGGTCTAGTATTGGTTGCTAATTAACCTAGATCACATTTTATTTCATACGTTTACTAGAATACTACCTAATCTCCACCAAATTATCTACTGGACCTTCGAAAAACCATGACTAATACTACTACTACTGCCTTTCTAAGCCAGAATGGAGCATAGGCCCTCAACCAGCTCACGCCAAGTCATTCTGTCATTAGCTGTCACATGCAGGCCTCCTTATCTTGCACACTAGAACTCCCTTCTCCATGTGTTTTTTATGTCCTTTATTTCTGTGTCCCTGTAGTTTCCACTGCAAAGACAGTTTAGTTATACTGTTATCCGCATTACATGTCGTGTGCCCTGTCAAACCCCAGCATCTTTTCTCAACCCCTGGACTTATACTAGATCTAGTGTTTTTCTTTCCCATCTTGCAAACCAAAGTTCAACGCCCCTCCCCCATCTCTTTTCCACCCACCCCCTACATGCTTAATTTACATCTTGTCTCTTTTAGTTATAAAATGAGAATGAATGGTTTAAATTCTGTATCATTTCAGTTATTGGAAAAGGTGGTGAACAGATCACACGGCTTCAAGCAGAGAGTGGCTGTAAAGTACAGATTGCTGCAGGTAAACATTTAACTAACCTGTTGCTGAGAGACTGAGCACCTTTGTATCTGTTACATGCAGCCATTCTCTTGTATATATGTTTGGCTGTATTATTATTGGATTCGACTAAAAAAGGAAAGACATGATGAAACGTGTTGACGGGCGGACAGAATACTTATGTTGACTGTCAACAATCTGATCTTTTATACCTACAGCCGAGCTTAGTGTCTTTTACATCTACAGCAGAGTTTTCTAAACTGTTGCACTATATTAGTGTGTTATTGTCTCTTATAATGGGTTGGGATAATCTCAGCTTTGCTAAGACTGAATTAGTGTCTTAAAGATATGTTTTTAAAATTGTGTAATAGATCTGACTGGTATTGTAAGCTGTGACCTACAATAATGAGATGTTAGGTTGGCCCTTCTAACAGATACATCATTTTGTATTGTGTAGATGCCCCCAAAATCCCCTTTTAACCATATCTACCAGAAGCTGCGTCTAAGAATAGTGCTTCATGGACAGCACAGTCTGCACACCTTTTTTGTGTGCATTTATGATGTAGAAGAAAGTGAGAAGAGATGGAACATCTGTTACCAGCACACAGTTGTACTGAGATATTTGTATTCCCATTAATTATCAAAGTTAAAAGAAACCCAAAGGGACCGGCTCATCGTTACTGGACCACACACTAGGTTTTGATAGTTTTAACTGCCTAGTCCTGAGAAAGCTGCTCATTTTGTTTACTACCTTGACGTGTCCTTCAGTGCAGGGGTGGGGGGGGGGGGGTATCGGACCCGAGGTAATCCCATATAGTATAAAAATAATTGATAAACTATAAATTGCAAAAGCCAAGGACGTTTTAAAGCAGTTTGTATGTCTGCAGTTAAAAATCTGGTTGGTATGAAAAGTCATTTATAGATTAAGAACACATTGGACCAAAGCATATCCCTATACCATCTGCTCTGCCTGTTGTCTTTTTAATGGTGATGGGAGGCCTTGCCATGTAGTCAAAGATGTGTGGAGCTCTTGCAATATATGGAGGGGAAAGGGGGGGGGGAGAAAGACCTGATAAGGTTGGTGACCACTGTAATAGTGGATGTCACTTTTTTTGTTTTTGTGTTTGTTCTTGTATTCTTTTTGTGTGTTTTTGGATATCAGTTGCTTTCTGAAAGCCTTGATTGATATGATGAAAGTGTTGACGGGCGGACTAAAACTCACATGTTGACTGTCAACTTTCTGATCTCTTGTTTTATATTTACTTTGTTTCCCGTGAATGTCTTTTCGAATTCTAAAAACTTCTACAGCAGAACAATAGTTGTACACACACACACAAAAAGGCCAGTGTCTGACTTACAATTACCGCTGCATTCGTATTTTTGAGTGCGCTTGTGATTGATAAAGTAAAATAAGATGCGTTGAATTAGTTGACGGGTGGCTGAATACTTTTTGAGTTCCCTGAAGGATTTTTTCGTTAAAATCAAATGAATGGATGTGATCTGATGATTATTAGTTTGTTTGAAATGTCTTTGCTCAAATGGTGCATACAAATTTTAAATGCTATTTTTTGTATGAAAGTGACATATTCAGTAAATGGCCACGGTGTACATACCTGTTCATTGAGACAACCTTTTTTTTTTTCTCTCCACAATTTAAACCACACTGATATGATGATGTCATTGACGGGCGGACTGAACCCACTGTTGAATGTCAATTTTCTGATTTCTGAAATGTTCATGGGGTATATGTTTGCTTTTAAAAAAAAAATAGGTTCTGTTTATGAATGTTTTAAGCAACTACATATTGTTGCACAGGCTTTAAAAAATATAACGATGTGATGAAATCATTGACGGGCGGACTGAATCCACGTGTTGACTGTCAACTTTCTGAAAGGTTCATGGGATATTTCTTGTGATCTTTCATCAAATAGGTTTTTTTATATAAAGGAATATAGTAATTGTTGCACCGACTTAAAAAAAAAAAAGACAACAGAACTGATGTGATGAAATCATTGACGGGCGGACTGAATCCACGTGTTGACTGTCAACTTTCTGATCTCTCTGAAATGTTCATGGGCTATATGTTTGTCTTTCAGATAGATTTATTTTTGTGAATGGTATTTAAGATAAATTTCTCTATTTAATTTAAGGAGCACTGCTGTTTATTGATATGATGAAAGTGTTGACGGGCGGACTGAAACTAGCATGTTGACTGTCAACTTTCTGATCTCTTTGTGTATGTATTTGAAATATATTTGTTATCTCTGCTTTTCTTTTTCGCGGGCACTAACCAAACCCACGATGGAAAATATTGATTGTTATTACACTTATGGACGTGTTCCATAAATTTTTTGTAACCGTCTGTTTTACAGATCTGGCTTATTTTTATGCAGGCCCCAGGTTGCACTACAGCTCCAAAGGAAACGCCCCTAATTGCATAAAATAAAATATATATTATGATGAAACACACTTGACATTATCAAACTGCTGATGTGTGGACATTACCACATGCTGAATGTAACCTTTCTGATCTTTAAATGGGAGGAGCATCGTCAGTTTCTTTATTTTCCTCAGCTGGCCCAGTCTTACAGTTGACGTCACACATTCAGCTCGAATAATGAGAACCTTGAAAATTATAAATCTAGAAATCGATCGGTAGTAAGAGAAAAGGGCGTGTCCCTCAAACAGCAGCATCTGGTGCTCACTTTGTGAAACACTCTTTATCCCTCCTAATTTGGCCACACCGTTGGAATATATGGCGCTAGATGGCGCTATGTGCGATGGCTAAGCCTATTTGGTCTATCTCAATGTCTTAAGTTCATTTGTTCTAGCTACTTGCTTGCGTGGTAACAAAGCATTGGCCTCTTTTTTTTTTTTTTGCGTCAATGCCCAGGAGCTCAGGTATAGGGGACAGTTAGGTTCATGGTCTCATGTCTGGTAGGGTTAAGGGAACATATCTGAATTTACACAACTGTCTGGGCGCCCCTAACCTCATTTTTCCATAGTATGTTTTTGGGTATTATAAATTTAATTTAATGAATTTATAAATTGGATTTGTCATAATACTTAGTATTTAGAAATTGCATAATGTATCTGAATGAATATGTATTTCACAGATAGTGGTGGTATGCCAGAAAGACCCTGCACTCTAACAGGAACACCCCAGTCAATCATGTAAGTTTGTGATAGATTCAGTTGAGTCAAAAACTAGCGTTGTAAGTAATTCCCTTTTGTAATGACATGTCTGTATTCCAGTCTACGCGGCCATAAATAAATAAAATGGGTTGTAAATGTGAGCCTCCTCTTGTGCTTCAGGGCATGGCAACAGTTCTAATACTTGTAGCAGCATAGTGGTGCCATCAGCTTCTAGATTCCCTACCAGAATTTCTATGGCAACAATGTCTATGCACATTGCTGCTGCTTTAACAACATAAGATCAAGCTGTCATCCATAAGTAATTTAGTGACCTAGGTAGCCATTTCTAGTAAAGGGGCCTTTTCACTGCCCTCAGGTGTATTGGGCATATAAGGCTAGATCTCCGTTATAGACCAGTTGGCACTCGTGTATGTAGCTGCCTTTGCTTTTCGTGACTAGCTTTTTATGACTACCTGGTGCCCACTAAAGGCTTGGGTCATATGTGTGTGTTAGAGATCGCAGTAGCAGCCTCTCCTTGTTTCGTTTTATTGGTTGTTGCTAGATTTACCTAATTCTTTCTGTAAATATTTTTCAGTGCTAACCAGTACTTGCTGAATGTTTTATCCTACCTGTAAATGTTTGTCCTTCTCATCTCCAGGATGTGCAAGCAAGCCATGCAACAAATTATTGACAGAGGTTCAGGACCCCCGCCCATGGGAGGAGAAGGAAGAAGCATGGATAGTATGGGCGAAGGGAGCACCGTTGTCGAAATGAACATCCCAGGCCTGAAAGTTGGTCTCATCATTGGAAAAGGTGGAGAAACGATACGGCAATTGCAGGTTGGTTGTTAGTGTTGTAGGGCTATAGTTAATATATGTGTGTGAATATGAATATATCAAGCTTATGATTTAAACCAAAAAATTTACTCAGTCACCACCAAACTACGGATTGCAATGTTGCTCCATAGCATGTTACTAAGCCTGGTTTTAATCTCTCAACAGGTGCATAGGTACTAAAGGAAACTTCCAAACCTTTGTTAATAATATTAGGAGTTTTTTAGTTTGCCTCTCAAAACCTGTATGGTTTGTTAGTGTAAATATCCTTAGCTCTATGTACATTGGAAATAGATGAGTGAGAACCTTTTGGTAATGCTTATGTAACACTGACTTTTTGTCTTCAGTCTGATAGTGTAAGGGTAAGACTTGTCGTGTTAACTGTTTTATATAGATTAGTACTGAGAGATATGTATATTAGAATGAAGACAGGACACTTTTAAGATTTATTTTGTCTCTTACAAACAATTTCAGTTTATTATTTCTGAAGATGATTTGTAAGAACTAATTTACCTTTTCGACTATATCAGGCAAGATGTCTTAAGCCAAGAGTTAAGTAATGACCATCCCTCAGTCTTATCTGTCATAAGGTTAAAATGGACTTTTAAGCCTAAATAATGTAGAAAAATGTTAGAATACTAACAGAAGAATACTGACAATATTAACAATTTGTTAATGAAGAGCATATCGTCTCAGAAGCTGAAATATTTTAGCCATATTAAGTGCCACTTTGGATTTTGGAAAAAAAAGTAACAGGAGTAGGGGGTGACCAACATGAAGATATGCACAGGACATAAGTGACTCCTTGAATAGGAAAGTGCACGAGATGGGAGTTTCTTTCAGGTAGGACAGGATTAACATGTTATATACTTTCATTTTCAGGAGCGGGCTCAAGTGAAAATGGTGATGATTCAAGACAGTAACTCCCCAACAGCACATGACAAACCTCTGCGCATCAGTGGTGAACCCAGCAAGTGTCAGCGGGCTAAGGAAATGGTCCTGGAACTACTGGCTGAGAAAGATAATATGCCACCTCGATCTGGAGGCTTTAATGAATTTGGATCACCTGTGGGTCATGGGGGTCAGGGTGGTGGCATGGATATTGCTGTCCCCCGACAAGGTGTGGGGTTGGTTATTGGCAAAGGTGGTGACATGATTAAGAAGATTCAGTCAGAAACAGGAGCCAAGGTTCAGTTCAAGCCTGGTAAGTCTACGTGAGAGTGGTGGCTGTGGCATAAATAAATTAAGAGAGTAGTGCAGAGTAATAGCGTTTGAAATATTTAAGAAGTTACCTAGTTACAGGCAGTAAAATGATTTTAAAAAGGGGTTTCATAAAATATAAGTAATATGTAAGTTAGAGGGTAGCTTTTCTTGTAGTTTAGAACTATAACTTTCATTTGTCATTCTTTATTGCTGTATGTAAAGTAAAATGTTCCTATTTCGTCTTTTATCTGTACTGTTTATTAAACTATTGTACATCGCAGTTGTAGGTTTAGAAATGTGTGCTGCTCTAACGTTATTGCTCTTGCAGCCTACAAGCAAGTTCTCAACCTATTTTATATTTGTTGCAGATGATGGCCAGAGCCCAGACAGAGTATGCTCTGTAACTGGTCCACAGGAGAAAGTCCAGGCTGCTGTACACATGATCCAGGACCTTCTGGCTAAAGCTAATATCATTGGGGTAAGTTGACCCTTTCGCCTGGACAATGCCTTTAAAAACATTAATGCATCATGGTATGCTGGAAGTGACTTCTCGGTTAATTTTTCATGGCGCCGTGTAGAGTAGACCTGCCTACCTTACACCCATATAAAGTAAATACAGACAAAAGTCAAATACAGTAAAGATGTTTCATTAGGAAATAATCAATCATGTGCCCTGGCATAGGCGCTCATGCGTCTCCACAGATCCCTGGTTGCCTGGAACAGCTCTCCTTATTATATCTCTCCATGCCATCGTTTCAGTCCATCCAGCATCATCTTTCTTGGTCTGCCTCTACCCCCTTTTCCAGATATGTTGCAGAATGTGTGTGAAATCTACAATCAATCTGATCACATCTATATTTGCAAGAACTGTAGATTACACATGCAAAGTGTAGCTTGAACTTCAGAGATGCACATCTCACAGGCGAGTTTTAAGTATATGGTTGCCTAACTTCAGCAGACGATCTTGCTTTGAGTTTATTAAATTAAAAATCTACAGCTTATTTCTTCTTCTTCTTCGCGTTCACCAGCTGTAAACTCTGGCGGAAAGTTCTGTTTGCTCATCCACTACTGAACTGCAGTGCTGATCCAGAACCTGAGTGTTGCATGTGCATCAGTTTTACAGATCTCTTTCTCTTGAATACAGACTATTGGTTTCTTGCCTCTCCGGCAGATGCACTCCAACTTCAAAGGAAGCTCCCAAATTAGTAGACTCTTACGACATGCTTTTGGGGAGGCAATGGGACCAGGAACCCACACGGGGGTACAGAATATTTGATAAAATTATACCACCCCACGACGGCAACTCCTTGTTTGTGGATTTGCAGTGGATGATGTTGTATTTACTAGTTGTACAGCTAGAGTCATGACGTCACATAATTTAATCAGTGATGTTTTATATTTCTGCAGGGTCAGCCTGTCCATGGTGGCAACTTTGGTGGTGGACCGATGGGCCCTGGACCAGGAAACGACATGGGCAGAGGTGGGCCAGGCAATGGTCCATTTCCTCCTGGCCCACAAGGACCTCGAGGGCCAGGCCCAATGGGTAGAGGAGGATTTGATCCAAATTTCCAGGACCAGACAACCTTCGTTGTACCTGCAGACAAATGCGGATTAGTCATTGGTAAAGGTAGATATTTATTCAAAGTTTGTGCATACATTATATGCCAGCAGTTAAATGCCACTGTTTTGACTAGCTAGGCCTTTACCTGTGGTCCTTTCACTGCATCAGTCTTTAACTCAGTATGATCTGTGGGACTTGTGTTGTCAGTCTTTTGCAGTTCTTTCCTTAGTTGCCTCTTTCTTATAACATGCACAGTAGATGACACTGTTATTGTTGGTATAACATAGTAAATTAGATGACTTTCAGTTGACAGAGTAGCTGCACCTCTACCAAGACAATCCACTTTTGGGACATCTTTGGGAAAACTAGTATACATGTCACAACACCGGGCAGTTATAGAGATGGGTGAAGATGGACAGGCATAATGACCAATGTTTCACAGCACAAGCTTTAGTTATATACTTCCTGGTATGGATGGTTAACTAGTCTCTACAACAGTTTGTTGGACACCACACTGCAGAGGACGATGGGCAACTAGTAAATTTAGATTCAGCTGACATTTTGAAGGCCTGTCACTAAAAGCTGAACTTCGCCATATAGTGTTTTTGTGTATGCATAGACATTAATCAAATCTAGACGCAGAACATTAGAGCCTAGAGCTGACTAATCAGCAGCTGTAGGTGTCGAGTTTCTGCTACAGAATACCGAAAGGATTTAATAACTCTTGTCAGAACTTGGCTCTTGGTTCATCATTGTCAGGGTTTGATAGTAAGCCTTTCAACATCTTGTTGATTTTGTCAGTCATTTTGTGAATTATTATTTATCAAATTAACTAGTGGAATGTGTCTGTAAATCTTTTGCTTATGTTTCTCTGGAATGCTGCAGATGTAAAAAAAAAAAAATAATCGTGCAGTTCTTCTGTCATAATACGATTCAGCTTTGAAGAGCGTTATTTGACCTGGGTTTAGGAAATTCTTAAAACAGGCACCGGATGAATAGGTACTATAGTCAAGCCATTAAATAGTGAGACTGATAAATAGTGAGAGTAGTTTAAAACATTAAGCAGATCATGCCACCAAACAAGCATCTATAATTTGTTCAGACATTATAGTTGCTATTGGTAATTGAAAGACACATTTTTGGAAAACTCTCATGCATAAATATTCTTTATAAACTGTTCAAAAAGATTGATGATAAAGCGGCTGGCTTATCCAGTGGACACAGAAGTCCAGTGCAATAATAAACATGCAAAAGAAGCAAAGTACTCTTTTTGTTTAGGTAATCGAAACATTATGCCTATAAAGTATCACTCATGGATTATGTTGGGCCTGTAAAGTAGTACTCATGGGTTCTGTTAGGTCTTAAAGTAGTACTGTTGTTTTTTTTTATTGGGTCTGTATAGTAGTACTATTGGTTTATATTTGACCTGTAAAGTAGTACTCTTAGGTTATAATGGGCATGTAAAGTAGTACTCTTTGATTATATTATGCCTATAAAGTGTTACTGGGCTATATTGTGTCTAGTATTACTCACGAGTTATATGGTGCCTTATAAAGTATTACTTACGGGCTATATTGCTTCTCTCACTAGGTGGCGAAACAATCAGGGAGATCAACAGGCAATCTGGTGCTCATGTTGAGTTGGATCGTAACCCACCACCAAATCCAAATGAAAAGATGTTTTGCATCCGAGGCAATCCAGGACAGATTCAGCATGCCATCCAGCTTATCCAGGAGAAGACCGGACAGCAGGGTATGCAGCATGAGCAGCGAATGGTAAGGTTATTTAGTTAGCTGAACATTGTGTTCCTGAATTTTGTTCTCGTTCTCCTGTATTTTCTGTAATTGTTAATGCAATTTTTTTGGTGTGATACTGATGAAAAAGAGTAGGGGGAAGACAGAAGGATTAACCTGGATGTCTTGGTCGTTTGGACAAGATAAGACAAGGCACTGACTTAATCCACAATTCTGGTGATCTTGTAAGATGGGGTTGGGGTTTGTAGAATTTTTTTTTCTGCGGGACTGGTGAAAGGGTTAACCCTAAACCCTTTTACCCAGGTGAAAGGGTTAATGGGTACAGATCACTTAACTTTTCCAGTACCAGACAATGAACTATGCGTTTCTAAGTTTCTTTTTGTCTGAATTACTAGTTTAGCGGTCTCTGATCTTTATACCTGAATATGCCTTGCTTTTAAGCTCATCTCCTTACAATAAAAAGAGTTAAAGAAAATTAAGACTGAAGAGTTAAACCAAGTATTTAATGATAGCATTAGTAATTAAAGCTCTTTTGTTTCTTTTTCAGGGACATGGCCCAGGTGGAGGACCTGGTGGCATGATGGGCGGGCCTGGTGGACCCAATGGCCCACCTGGGGGTCCTGGCCCACAGGGCGGACCAGGAGGTCCTGGCCCACAGGGACCTGGCTATGACCAGTATGGTGGACAGTTTGGCCAGCCAAAGTATGTAATGACTAGCATGTGATAATTTATCATTTTTTTACGTGAAGTAATTCTACATTATCTTCATTTCACACTTGGCTGAGGTCTAGTTGTTTGTTCTGACTCGTAATTGTGTGATTGAAGAATATACATTTCTGCTGCCTATGTCTGTGATAATCAGGGATAATTAATACTGCTGTTTAGGAGGGGAAAAAACCTCAAAACAGCCAGCTTCTTGGCAAATTGAAAAGCCTTCAGTTTTGTTATAACATGTCCAGTTTGTAATCTGGTGCCTACATCAAGTTTACTTTAGGGGGCCTTGCATACTGCTGCAGACTGCTTCAAGTCAGATTTTACCAAGTCATCCTGTGTCCCTTGCAAGATAGTTAAATATTTTATGTCATAATAAAATTCCAACATAGATGTTGCAGAAATGTTACACAAGTCATGGCACGAGGCAAATGCTCAGTATGCAGCCGATTTTGGTAGCATGACGTATTAACATAAATGTTGAAAACACTCGGAGAGATTATTGAATAACTTTGATATGTTGTGAGTATAGGCTAATGCGTTGATGTAAAGTTTGTTGTCCTTCTTCCTCGCAGTGAGTTCAAAGTTTTTTGTTATCCATTGACATAAAATGAATCATCAAATGATATGCAGAACATTAGAGCCTAGAGCTGACTAACCAGCAGCTGTAGGTGTCGAGTTTCTGCTACAGAATACAGACAGGATTTTCTAACTTTGACAGAACCTAGCTCTGGTTCATCATTGTCAGGGTTTGATAATAGGCCTTTCAACATCTCAATTGATTTTAGTCATTAAAATTTTGTTTGTAATTATTTAATTATTTTCTAAATGGTATATTCGATGAGCAGATTAAATTTCTTAGAATTGTTGCAGCATATTATATTTCATTACAATGCCAATGAAATTTGTACACTGCTCAGTTTTCTCAGTCATAGTATATTTCAACTTTGAATGGTGTTATTTCAGAGGTTAGGAAATATTTTGTGTTTTCCTTACCTGCCTTCTGCCATTTTATTTTGTGTATTTACAATCCTTTTGCTTTTATTGCCCAGTGCGTATTTAGCTTTAATCTTCTAGGCAAGAGTTCTGTAGTTAAAAGATTAGTCATTGGTCCGGTAGGGCAAGGATCCTTTTTCTTGTAGTTTGTTAGCATTTAACCTTGTTATTGCATAGATACTTATGGCAGATACTGAAATCTATACTAGAAGAACATTAGTCTAGATCTAACTATAATAAATGGTTTTTCTGCACTGCATTTGAAAAGGATTTGAAAATTCAATGTATTCTGTCAGTTGTAATTTATATATAATTTGATGATTCTGGATTTACTGGCCTTCTTTCCCCTTCTAATTTGTAACTGCTTATATGTCAGAGGTATTTCATTTTGGTCATTTTTCCTTTTGGTATGGTCATGTGTGTGGTTTTTTAGTACAAGTGTAACAATAGATCGAATCTAGACGCAGAACATTAGAGCCTAGAGCTGACTCACCATCAGCTGTAGGTGTCGAGTTTCTGCTACAGAATACAGACAGGATTTTTCTCTGACAGAACTCGGCTCTTGGTTCATCATTGTCAGGGTTTGATAATATGCCTTTCAACAACACATGACCATACAGTCAGACCTGTAGAAGTTGGTCTATTTAGGGGTGTGTTTTCTGTTTGAAACATGATTTTGTGTGGATTTAACTGGGCACACAAACTAAAAAGCTACAGTGATGTGATGAAACTGTTGACGGGCGGACTGAACCCACATGTTGACTGTCAACCTTCTGACCCTCTGTTTCGCTAAAAGTTTCTCTCTATTTTTTTTTTTAAGCACGGATATATAGTTAGGGAAATACTTAATGTACACTTGCTTTATTACAGCCAACCCCCTCAGCAACAATTTGGAGCTCCTCAGGGATGGAATGCATATGGCAACCAGTACCCCCAGCAGCAGAACATGCCTAGTAAGTCTCTAATACTTCTCTGCAGGTGCATGGCTTCCACATAGTCACAAGACAAATTCCAGGGCTCCATTATGGAGAAAAGAAGAATAGACCCACTGCCTGTCAAAAGAGCTGACTATTTTGGAGCTCTCATCGAAGTCAAGAGTACATCTACCTGAGAATCAAGGAACTAACAGTCTGCTTGCAGTCGGACCTGAAACGATTGTGCATTCAGGTTCAGGAACAGAACTAGTGACCAGAAGAGGAAGAACAACTAGGAGTTTTCTACCGGAGTTTACAGCCTGTAAAGATGAAAATTATGTATTACACATATATATATTACATCATATATTTTGTCACATTGTTTAGCTAGATTCTGGGCTAAAGTCCAGAAGTGGACCATCAACCAGACTATCTGCCAGATTTTACAGTTGATGAATGCAAAGAAGAGAAAAGAGTATACAACAAATAATGTTGATTCTAAAGATAGCTTCCTAATCTCATTGTCAGAATCTGCATCTACTTCAACCTGTGGGTGGTTTTTTCTTCTAAAAAAGACGTTTGATGTAGCTTTTTTCTAATTTCTCACTTTTATAATTTAGTGTCCTGTTGTTATCTAATGAATGCATTTCCGTTTAGCATTTGTAGTAGGAATAGGGTGTTTAATTTATTTTTATGTGTTTACAGAAAAACTAGTTTTTCAAGCATTTGTAGTAGGAATAGGGTGTTTAATTTATTTTTATGTGTTTTATTTTTAATCTTATTGTCATATGGATGCTGAAGTGCATTTGATATTTATTCTGGTGTTTCTGGTACAATGTCCATTCAACACTTTCTCTCACTAGAGTGAATGAATCATGGTAAAACTTGGCTTCTAGCTTGCCTGTGGTGAGGTCAAGACAGTTTGCATGCAGACTGTTGCATGCCGTGTCATGGATCACATGGCTGATTTTCATCAAATATAATGGGCTGATTATGTATTTAGTTTGTCAAATCATCTTCAGGCATCATTACATGGTTGTTCTGCTTTTTATTGTTGACCATATCTTGTTCTAAATGTTACTTAACATTTTGTTATGTGAATAATTGCTTCTTTCGAAGAACTTAGTAATTTGGCTAAATTTGATGGTGGTAATTAGCTACAAATACTGTACACTTTAAAAAAAAAAAAAAAAAAATACTTATTGCTTTTCAGTGTGTAGTTTGGGCTACTGTAAAAAGGAGCCTGCTGGCTTTGAGAAACAATTTACTGGCTACACATTTATTGATCTTAGAGCACTTGTTTCATACTTACATTTGTTTCCTTCAACCCTTCAGCCATCAACCCACAGACAGGCCAGCTTGACTACAGCCAGGCCTGGATTGAGTACTACAGGTCCCAGGGTATGTTCCACGAGGCTAACATGGTCATGCAGCAGGTCCAGAGCCAAGCAGCTGCTGCTGCAGCACAAGGAGGTCAGCCTGGTCAGCAGTGAGGACTGATGTGAGGAAGACATGGTCCAAATTTCTTTGGTAGGTAACGTATTCTTTTAGCATTGTCCTTTAAATCACATATTCATTTTCTTAGAGTAATTTACAGCAGTTACATTGTGCAGTCTGGGTCCTTGTTTATAAGTAAATGTTCATGCCAGTTAAATCAGTTTTCTTCATTTAGTGGGTGCTGTTCTTATAATGTTGAAAATGAACTTCTCTGTACTCTTTCTGCAAATTTTTAGACTTGCAGCTGCACTTTGGGGGCACATTCATTTAACAGCTGTGAAACAAAAACCCTTGCTTGATCACTAGTTTTTTGAAAAGTGATAAGGGAAGAACAAAGATAATGAGAATAAATCTCCCAGTAAATGTGGTTTTTTCTAAAGGCATCCACCATTTGCTCTTTGGGCACTAATGTAAGGAACTGGAACAGAGATAATAATATAATTAGAAAAGGTAAAAAGAGCTTTTTAAAATTTGCACTAGGAAGTTTGTGGTGGTCAAAAAAATAATAATACAAAACTGAAATGTTTAATTCTGATGTCAAGTACTGTCGCATGGAGCGGAAACTAATTATTAATAAACTATAAACAGCTGTTAACTGGTGCCTGCACAGAATAGAGAAAATGATAGAATCGCTGTTTTGGGAGAGAACTAGTTCCAGTGGACCAAGAGGTGAAGAAAAGTTGCTGGCAGTGTATAATAAGACAATGTCTTTGCACCGGAACCCACATGGGCATAGACATAATGGCAGACGACAGCCCAAAAAAAGAAAGTAGAGAGTGAAGTTACAAAAATAAGGAAACATGAGGTGAGCTGCATGCTAAGATAGAATGACCTGGCATGAGTGCTTCAATGGGGGATCGAAGGCAGAGGAAAAGCTCGAGCCCTCTATTGGTAGGATGGAGGATCTTTTGAGGCCAGTTGCTGTCTCAGCAGGTTCTGCAATTTTATCCATCCTAGATTGTCTGTGGGTGATAGCTAGCTAGCTACTTGCACTGTTGTGTGTGTTACCACTTAGGGTGTTTGGTCCATGGCTATAGTGCTGCAAACCAGTTTTGAGACCTGTCCCCAGTACTCGACTAACGCCTGATATGACCAATCATTTAACTGTGGAACTTTTTTCTGGACTATTTCCTGTCTTGAAAATGCTTCATAAAGTTTCTGAAGAAACAAATTATGAAATATCTAACTTAAATTTATTCATGAACATTTCAGCAGTTTGGTGGTAAATTTTTAATTGCTCGTTTGCTGGTACAGTTTCTGAAGAAAAGCTATTAGAATTTGCCGGTATTATTATTTCATTGTCAGTGTGGTCTTGTCTGTCCACAGATATGCGACAGTTTGACAACACAAAGGTAAAGCTTGCCTGCTACAGCCCAGTTTATCTGATGTTCACATGAGACATACACTGTCATTTATGTGCACTTTTTTTTTAAAAATATTGTCAGGCATTTAAACAATGTGGCAGATTGTGAATTGTTCTTATTTCTCATTACATTTCTTTTAATGTATGATTATTCCTCACTCCCTGTTATGTTTCCCCTCACTCATATTTTTGTATGTGTGTAATCTATAGTATGTAGCAGTTCACATCTTAGTAAACAAATATTCACAACTCTTGTGTGGGTAATATGTAGCTGTATCCTGATGTACACATTTAAACCACGTGGAGTATGCCCCCCATAAACTTGGCCATACGTGTCTCTACTGATATTTACGCTGCAACATTTGTCCTTCCACTCTCTCACTTCTCAATTTTTAACCATTCAATGATCGTGTTGTGTATTTATAATCATTTCTCCAAACTGACTGTTATGATAATTAATAAAGCTGATTGACAAGTTTTTCGCCTGTATGATGAAAATTTTAACATTAAAATTAATATGGAGTTGCCATTCAATTATTGGGTTTATTTTATATATGTATTGCATTGTTTTGTTATTTCAAATTGGAAACATTAAACTATTTCATTGTACAGGTTTGTAGATTATTTTGTATTTTTTAAAAGTTATAAATAAATGATGTCCATTAAAGCAATGCGAGTTGGTTTCACAAATATGTACTGTCCTGTGTGTGGGTCCTCCAGTAGTTTTGTTACTTTTAGATTTCAACATAGTGGGTGTAAACATTTCACTGTGATTCTTAATTTGTCACTAAACTAGTGTTTTACTGATGTAACAATACAGTTGCACTCATATAGATACTTTGTTGATAAATTATTCACTCATTTGCCATACATGCTTGTGAAATGTTAAAGTGAATTAATGATAAACACATGCAATGTAAAACCTGCATTCTCAGAATCTTTTTAAAAAAAAAAAAACTAATGGGTGTCTCCTGTAGAGTTTTGATTGTCAAAGATACGCCAGTGCTGTTATAATTGAATATAAATGTTGGTTGCCTGTGGGTCTCTCTATTTGTATAGTCCCGCATAAGATGTTGAGTCTTGCCAAGATTAAAATGTATTCTAATGACTAATAGCATGTCCAGCATTGTTCTGCCATCTCTAATATTCTTAGGGTGTCCGTCACATTCCATGCATTCCCTAACATGCTGTGCGCATTGTATACAGTTGGAATATTTTCTTCATCTTTTAAGTTGTCTGCATTACATTGTTGATTGCAATAATTGGTTAGGGATGACCTTGTTTTTTTTAAGTCAAGATATTGTCTTCTGAAATAGTCCTAAAATGTGTGTTTAAATGCAGAAGAAGAATGGCAACATGGCCAATTACATACAGCTCATTAGAAAATACTGAATGAGTAGGAGAAAAGTACCTGTATGCTTCAGGCCTAGTAGAAACTAAACATTTAGTAAATGTAAAAATATAGGCTAATCGTATTTTCTTTTTTTTTGTTTTTAAATTACAGTATATATACATTATGGTGATATAGAATCTTTTAATCTATGAATTCAAATATGCAGACAAATGCTAATACATGAGGTTTCTTTGTTTTTCTGTTTAACGTTTGTTAATAAATGGCCATAGCTATACAAATACGTGAATATTATGTTTGTTTGATACTGCAATGTCCATCAGTAAACAGTTGTTAATAATTATATTAAAAAAGTATTTAATAATGAGATTGACATTTGAGATGTTCTGGTACCATATTTGCACATGTCCCCTTTAAGTTGTGATAAATAAAAGAATACTAAATATGCTTATCTAATGCATCATTGCAGGAATCAACATAAAAACATGTATTGACTATGTGTATACTAACTTGTTACTGTGTGGTTATTTCAACAATTAGCGACATTAAAATTATTACTGCAGTATTAATACATGTAATTGAACTCTATGGTTAGAAGTATATTTATTGTTTTTTTCTTTTAAATTATCTACATCTACTGTATGTATGTTCTTATAAGAGGACAGATAGCAAAGTCGCTAAGGGAGGTGATTATACATTTTCCCCGTTCTGGTTAATCTGTGCTGGTTTCTGGGAGAGTGCTGATAGGTCCTAGCAGTTTAGCAAGACTGGGGACACAAGAGAGAGAATAGGGCAGTGTGCCACTCCTCAGGAGGCAATGTAGCATATCATGAACCCAGCATTGAGATGTCATTTTTTTGGTGTTTGTCAAACCATTTTATCTATATTTAATATTTGCCAAAGTTTTATGGGGCAGTGGTACATTTTCTTTGTGTTTTAGACTAAACAGATGTGATTTTTGTGAACTCTTTTATCATGTTTGTTCCCTCCCTATGTTCTTAGGTGTCTTGCTTTTGTTGAGAAGCTACCCATATGCTCACTGTTATGTTTCTTGATATGTTTTGTGTCACGTGATTTTAGAATGTTCTGGTAAACCGCATTCAGTTTCTGGACATGCTTACAGGATTGCCATGCACGCTGGTTTTTCCATCTAATTGATTGTATGGGAATAATGACAGTTCTAATGCACTTGTTTCAGTGGCACTCAATCTACTCTGTCATGTGTTGTTGATCTGTAATTATAGTATGCCTATAGAATGTCCATTAGATACACTCTCTCAACATTGTTCTAAATGTCAGCTAAGTATTTTCTCATTGATTATGCTGGTTTAAAATTATGTCACTTTATGTTGCCCATTTAATTATTTCACAAAAACTGAGTTGACATGTTCTAAAGTATTTCACGCTTATTGAAGTTGCAAGCTGGATACTTGACATTCTTTGTGAGTTAAAGTGTTTCGTAATTATTGTATTTGCGTATTTCACGTGATTAAAATGTTTTGTCGGAGATAATAATAAAAAAAAAACTAACGGTTAATAAGCTGCATGATTTTCCTTCTGTCACGCTGACCAATTGTACATAAGTAAATAAATAAAACGTTGCATTACTTATGTATTCTGTTAATCCTAAATTCAAATATTCTGATGTATTTAAATGCTCATAACATTCAGATTTATGAGAGGATCCACGGGAAGGCAGTCTGTTGTGTGCCTTGCTCAAGTTTGCCTCATTTATTCTGTCAGTTTCAACTGGTTTCCTTTGGGTTGTGTATGGAACCATTTTGTAAAGCAGACATACTAAGATACTGCAGACAAGTGTGGTGTATGGAGCAACTATTCAATTGGGGGAGGGGGGGGGGGGATTTGTTGTGTCCAGTTCATTTAGGCTGAGATTACTGTCCCTATTTCTAGATGTAACCAAGCATTTGTTACTGTTACCCTCTTACTGTTGATTTATTATGTATACTTTCTTTCCCAAATGCTTCTGTAGCTTGAGAAACTACATTTGCCTTTAGTTAATGTTATAATGACATGCAGCTTGTCTGTGACACAAGGCATGCCGAGTAGATGCAGTGTTTTTAGCTCTCTTCTGGTGATCGGGTTCGATGAGTCACCTGGGGAAAAGTGCAATTCTAACCATTTCCCTTCCCAGGTAAAAATCACAAGATGACATTCTTTCTAATTTCAGGCATTTTTTTTTCTTGCTCATCTACTTCTGCCTTTCTCCATCTTATCACACTTAATTAGGTGACTTCATGCCTGCCTACCAGTCTCACTGGTTT